TGTATTGGCAAAAAGTAATATGAATTTGAAATATGGAATAGATGGGAGGTTGGGTCTTTAGTGTTAAGACCAATAGATGTTTTATTGTTTGCTAAGAAAATTATGTGTCTATGGTTATTTTTGTAATTTGTGTGTAATTTGGTATTTGTGTTTTTTCCCCTTTTTTCTTGTTGTATAAATAAAAAACTTTATTTTTTAAAAAAAGATATTGATGTAAGGGTACTCACAGAGGTTTTGGGAGAGTGTTGGATGAGAAAAAGAGAAGGTAGTGAGTTGATGCACCAAGGGCAGGGAAATGATTCGAAACATACACCGAAGCAAGCGACAAAGGAGAGGGATGAAGGTGATGATGCAAACTTAGTCTGCTCACCCAAAAGACTTTCAAACAGAAGACGGCAAATACTTGTCTTCTAATGGCCGACAAGGCAGGGGTGAGCTCTAATGAGTTTAAGTTACAGGTGGGTAGATTTTGATTGAGAAAGTTCTTTGAAGAGAAAGTTCTTGATGGTAAAAGCCATTTAAGGTACTTTCAAACATGGTTTGGACTAGATTGCCAAACAAGACTTCCTCCAGCTTTCAAGAGATCATTACATGGTAAGTAGCCTCTATAGGTTAAGTAGCCTCTATAGGTTAAATATATATATATGGAGATTGATCGATTGCTTTGCAACTCAAAAAAGCAGCAAATAATATTTTTAAAAACATTTATTTTCTTTTTTAAAGAAAACCTACAGAGCATTTATATAGCTTCTGGGAGGGTATCCCAGGAACTATGTATTCAATTACAGTCCTATCCAGAGAAGACCCACTGAAATTAATGAACATGGCCTAGGTGCATTAATTTCAAGGGCTTAACTGTGGGTAAAATTCAGTTGAATACAACCAATAGGTTATGTGGTCTCTCCCTCTTTTGACACCAGAGGCAGAGCTCTGATGTCAGAGATCTTAAGCCAGGTCCCCATTCCCCAGGGCTCTGATGTCAGTAGATCCAAAAAGGATCTACTGGGGGCATGCTGGAGAAGGACCAAGAAATGGTATGGATCCTAAGGATCTAAAGCCGTCCTGGTCCCCTAACGTGTCTCCAGACTGGGGGGAGATTTAAACCAGCTCAGCAGAACTGAACTGGTCACCTGCAAAGGGTGCTTGAAGTTAGGCTGAGAGTAGCATTAATTTTGGCAGCGCAAAAACAAATGGATGACTTCAGCCTGAAGGTGAGAGGGTTGTGGGAACAATGAGTTGCTCGTCTACAAGAGGCCACCCTCAAGTGTATGAAGATCAAGAACTTGAAAAGGTACACTGTCAACAAGAAGGGCAGGACGTGAAGTCATGCCACGCGCTGTGGCTTGTTTGCACATGCAAGCATCTTGCGAATGACAGCCACACACAGCAAGGGCTGGCATGTGCGAATGAGCTGCTGTAGGTCAACCACACCAGGCAGAACTTTCGTATCACTGCAAACCTAAGACATTTCAATGGAGCTGCTTTGCATGTTCAGTACATGTCTTGTAGCTGGGGATGCTCTAGTGATGGGCACCACTGTCAGCTGCCCAGTTTTGATATTACTGAAAGATGATGTCGACATCAGCCTTCAACTCCCTCAAAAAAACTTGGCTTCACATTCAGGAATGCCAAGCCTTCTACAAGCCAAGCCTTATGAGGAAAGGTTGAAGGAGATGGGTATGTTTGGCCTGGAAAAGAGGAGACTGAAAGGAGATACAGTAGCCATATTCCAAATATCTCAAGGGCTGTCACATGGAAGAGGGAACAAGCTTGGTTTCTCCCGCCCTGGAGGGGAGGACTCGAACCAATGGATTCAAGCTACAAGAAAGCAGATTCCGACTAAACATCAGGAAAAACTTTCTGACAGTAAGAGCTGTTCAACAGTGGAACAGACTCCTTCGGAAGGAGTTGGACTCTCCTTCCTTGGAGGTTGGGTGGCCATCAGTCATGGATGCTTTAGTTGGGATTTCTGCATTGCATTGTGGGTTCCTTCCAACTCTACAACTCCATGATTCTACGAATGCCCCTGTTTTCACTGAGAAATAGAAACAGGTTCATGCCTTGTTATGTCACGAGTGGAGCATTTATGGCTACCCAGTGTGGTGAGCTATCAGAACTACAGCTTGGAGCATCTTCCAGGTAACTGGCCTCCCCACACAGGTGGAATTCAGGGCGTTTGGAGGGTAGTTTTAAAGTGAACCCAGACCATAAAATCATTATACTGATGTCTCAGTATTTATCTTTTACTTCTTAGCATTTGGCCTTTTCCTTGTGTTAGCAGGAAACAACTGAAATCTTTAGGCATTTATTAACTTTCAGTTAATTTATTTAAAATCAAATTATTGTGTGTGTGTGTATACTTTACACACACAAGCTAGCCATGATGTCTATGCACTGCCTCTGTGGTCAGAGGCAGCGATATTCCTGAATATCAGGATGCCGCAGGTGGGGAAGTGCTGTTGTGTTCGAATCCTGCTCATTGGCTTGCCAGTGAGAACAGAATGCTGGACTAGATGGGCTGCTGGTTTGATCCAGCGGGGGCTCATCTTGTGTTCTTGCTTGTCCAGCTTGTCAAGCAGGAGGAGAACAGGCTACAAACAACCCTTGTTTTCAACAGACAGTGTGATTTTTATATGGGAAAGCATTCAAATATTTGTGCGTCCCGTCCTGTCCTGTCCCCCTTCCAGTACAGTCTGAAAGCTGGAACTTAATAATTACCGCATTTTACGCTCCATAAGACACACTTTTTTCTTCCTAAAAAGTAAGGGGAAATGTCTGTGCGTCTTATGGAGCGAATGTGTGGTTCCTGGAGCCGAATTGCCCAGGGGAGAAAAGCAGATCATGCTTTTTTTTTTTTTTTTAAAAAAAAGGGAAGTGGGTGTTTAAACAAAGCTGCTGATCATTTGCTGATCGGGGAGAGAGATAAGGGATGCTAGAGATAAAGGAGGCTGCCTGGGAGGGGGGAGGTAAAGACAGCGAACTTTGAAGGAGAGGAGACAGGAAGACTAAGGCATTGAGGAGAGAAATTAGAAGAAAAGGAGGAGCAAAAAACTGCTCCAGCTAAGGAAGAGACACTAAGGCAAACAAGAGGGAAGGGAGTGTTGAAAGGAAACAGCTGATGGGTAAGCAATCGGGGAGAGAGATAAGAGAGGCTAGCGATAAAGGAGGCTGCCTGGGAGCGGGGAGGCCCATGGATCCTCAGGATTTTTGCATTGGGTCACCCCAAATTCACCATCAGATCACATAGCATGTCCATGGCTACAGCCTGCACCAAAAAAATCACTCACCCACTGTTTTGTTCAGAATATTTTTTTCCTTGTTTTCCTCCTCTAAAAACTAGGTGCGTGTTATGGTCAGGTGCGTCCTATGGAGCGAAAAATACAGTATCTTCCAGTCCTTTTTGCTCTGAGACCTGTTTTTTTCCAGCAGGGCTGGAAGCAGCATCAATTTGTAATGTAGATATGTCTTTAAAGAAGAATGCAGGGCCAAAACTAGTCAGAAAAAAGGAAAACAAAGTAATGGGCATATGAATGCTCAGATCAGGAGGGAGGGAGGGTGGGCAGGTGATGAAGTCATTTGGCTTTCTTTTCTTTTCTGTTCTTTTTTTTTGGCTATGTGCAGAAACCCCAGAAACACACCAGAATACCCTCAGAAAGCTCGATGGAGCGACAAAGCCCTTGGACTCAAACATACATCATTGGGAAAAATAACACATCTTCGTCATCAATACAACAAGATTCTTCCCCCGCCCCCACTTCAAAACCATTTCAAATCCACACTCGACCTGCAAAAGGTGATGCCTTATTTAGACATATTGGTTGCCACATTTCAATACCACCCTGAAGGGGGAAAAAATTAGACATAGCTAAGAATAGACCATAATAATGAATCAAGCCAGAATTGCAGAGACACCAGATCAGATCCTGAAGAAAAGGATCTTTCTTTGTTGAACCGTTGCATAAGTCGCAAAAGAACTGTTCTTGGGTTGTAAAGCCACTTTGGGGACTAAACCAGCTTTTATTTCATGACTCCCCCGCCCCTACCAAAGCTTGTGAAACACTTCACGCACCACGGCTGCGATCCTGTGCGGTTCGACTGCTGAAATCCAGCTGAAGTCAGCGAGGTTTAAGCGGCCTTAAAAGCTCCCAGGATTGCAACCAATATAAATGCGGTAATTATAATAATGTTGAGGCAGACGCCTCATGAAATCGAGTCTAAGATGATGCAGCCCTGACAGCCATTTCAACCAATGCTTTATATCATTGTTGCGGCTCTTTTACCCAAATCCCACAGTGTTCTTGTTCTGGACTCCTAAATTTCTTCCCCATTCAGGGGAAGCGAGATGCACCTTAGAAGACCCACATCTGCCGGAGCAAGTCACTGCCTTCCAAGCCTCAATAATAGCAACTTCTCTCGCAATGTTCTAAAGCCCTTTGTAGATTCAAAGATGTATATATAAGTGGTCAGTAGTCCTAGCGATTCATGTCCCACTTCACCAAGGTCTCAAGGAGTAGATTTCTGAGCTAATTGTTATCCATTTTCTCTCTCACCCGCTCTCACTTTGCTATTATTTGTAAAATGGGAACAATCATAGCCTTCTTCCAACGTTCCTTGAGAAAAACGATGGACTCCCTGGGAGAGAACTTGAACCCAAGACCCACTCCCTGCATCCTCAACCCTCCACCTGCGGCAGTCTCTAAGTCAGAAGTCAGTGGCACAAATGACATACAGCAACCACACCATAGCTTCCTCTTCAGCATAACTGTTTGGTACCTTTCAAGTGCTCTAACTATGGCATTCACTTATTAGGACCGACCGAAACGTCGCGAAACCGCGTCAAACTTCTGAGTCCACCCAAAACCCCTCAGCAGGAAAGATGTCGCATGAAACAGGGGGCAGGTGAGGTGGGTGGGGAATGAGGGGGGCGGGACCCAGAACAAAGTACAGAGATCATGCTGGACACTATAACTGCCAAAATAAAAATATACAAAATAAAAAATTGTCCAGTAGCACCTTATAGACCAACTAAGTTTGTTCTGGTATAAGCTTTCGTGTGCGTGCGCTTATACCAGAACAAACTTAGTTGGTCTATAAGGTGCTACTGGACAATTTTTAACTTTGTATATTTTTATTTCGACTGCATCAGACCAACACGGCTACCTACCTGAAACTCTAACTGTCAGGTCAACTTATAGGCCAGGGGTCAGCAACCTTTTTCAGCAGGGGGCCGGTCCACCGTCCCTCAGACCATGTGGTGGGCCGGACTATATTTTTAAAGGAAAAATAATGAACGAGTTCCTATGCCCCACAAATAACCCAGAGATGCATTTTTTAAAAAAGGACACATTCTACTTATGTAAAAACATGCTGATTCCCGGGCCGTCCTTGGGCCGGATTGAGAAGGCGATTGGGCTGCATCTGGCCCCTGGGCCTTAGGTTGCCTACCCTTGTTATAGGCAGTCCCGAGATGGAGACGACTAGCTGAACATACCCCTTCCGGGTGCCCTAGACATCAGGCCACACACCTAGCATTCTGGGATCAAGAAGCACTGGCTGCTCTCCATTTTTAGAAATCATAACGCCCTGCCTGTAACCTAAATCTGCCCCCCTGCCTTAAACAAATGTCTTTAACTAACATTCACGATAACGCCAACCTAGCACCCAATGGAAGCTGCTTCCAATTGTGTTAGGAACCATCTGCACAGACAGGCTTTGGGGGACTGTGCCATTTCAGGATGAAGGCAAAAACTCCCTGTGTGAAGGAAGTGCACAACTCAGGGAGAAGGTTTCCATTCTAATATTCTCCCGGACCTGATCTCCCTCCCCCCAACACCTTTAAAAAACGTGAGGAAGACTTGAATTGTTCCACATTCTTTTGAGGTACAGTCATACCTCGGGTTACAGCCACTCCAGGTTGCGTTTTTTCGGGTTACGCACCCGCTGAAACCCGGAAGTACCGGAACGGGTTACTTGCGGGTTTTGGCGGTCGTGCATGCGCAGAAGTGCTAAACTGAGCTTTGCGCATGTGCAGAAGTGCCAAATCGTGAATCGGGTTGCGAACGCTGCGGGTTGTGAACGTGCATCCTGCACGGATCGCATTTGCAACCCGAGCGTCCACTGTATTCACCCAGAAGAGCTACCCCACTTGATTTTCTGGATCTGTCGCTGGCTTATTCCTGCAGACCTAAGCATGTTTCCTTGGAAGCAAGTCCCACTGATAACATTCCAAAGATGTACAGTGGTACCTCGGGTTACGGATGCTTCGGGTTACAGACGCTTTGGGATACAAACTCCACTAAGCAGGAAGTGGTTGCTCCAGGTTAAGAACTTTGCCCCAGGATAAGAACAGAAATCGCATGCCAGTGGCGCAGCGGCAGCAGGAGGCCCCATTAGCTAAAGTGGTACCTTAGGTTAAGAACTGTTTCAGGTTAAGAATGGACCTCTGGAACGAATTAAGTTCTTAACTTGAGGTACCACTGTATTTAGATTAGCAGCACAAAGCTCCCCCGCCTTCCAAAGTTAATGAAAACAAAGTTGGGTTTTAAAATTAAATCCTTTTAAGCTTGGAACACCCATGGGTTTCAACGGGGGCTGCTTATTGTGTCTAAGATGTTCTCTGGTTGACCAACACTGGAAAATCAAGTCCTTTCCGTTACAAAACGTCACAAAGGGAAGCACCTTTTGGAATTCAACCTTGTACTCTGATCTGAAAACTCTGGTATCTAGTCAACATCCCTAAAATACAATATCATTTTGACAAAGGAATGATACTGACAAGTGAAGAAATAGCAAGAATATTGACTCTGGAGTATAGGAAAGGCGGGAGAGGGGGGGACACAGGGTTCAGATACTTTTTTTACAACAATAAAGGTCACCACGACGATAAAGGTTATGACATCTGATGGATATTTCTGTGTTATAGCTTTGAGTTTTATTGCAAAGCAAAAAATATATATTTGTGTATATATATATATATTTTATATATATATATACATTATCTACAGGTCACCTCCAACACAACCAAAAGCACAGGAAAGAAAATAAATCATAGTGAGGTAGATACAAAACACTGGGGTGATGGGAAACCCCTGGAGCAAAAATTGGCTTAACCGGGGTAGGTGAGGGGGAAGAGAGAGATGGAGAGAAGCAGAAAAGAATTAGAGCCTACCTCAGCAGATTTCAAGCTATCCCCTTTCTTTTTCTTTTTGAGATGCTTTCTGCATCAGCGTGTCTGCTGAAGACCACCAGTAACCTCCTGTGCATTTGAGGTATCTTTTTGTTGTGCCTTTATAATTATTTGTGCTCATTGTGGTATTGGGGCAGTTATATGCAGTTCTGCATTCAGTACTCTTTGTGCTGTTTCAGCGATGGACACACTGCTTCACTTCCAGTCTGTGCACGTCCTGTTACTTCCTTCTGAAATCCTGCATCTTTTTCACGTCACAAATTTCTGCTTTATTACTTTTTTAAATTTTTTTGCTCGCCTTCTGTTGAGCTATGGTGCAAAAGTGCCCCTCCAGATGACAATAATACAGCAACCTTGGGGAAGTGATGTGTGGAAAGCCCACGATTAATAACAACAACAATAATACAGTGGTACCTTGGTTGTCTTAAAAAGCAGAGACATCACCTTGCCGACAAAGGCCCCTTATAGTTAAAGCTATGGTTTTCCCAGTAGTGATGAACAGAAGTGAGAGATGGACCATAAAGAAGGCTGATCGCCAAAGAATTGATGCTTTTGAATTCTGGTGCTGGAGGAGACTCTTGAGAGTCCCATGGACTGCAAGAAGATCAAACCTCTCCATTCTGAAGGAAATCAGCCCTGAGTGCTCACTGGAAGGACAGATCCTGAAGCTGAGGCTCCAATACTCTGGCCACCTCATGAGAAGAGAAGACTCCCTGGAAAAGATCCTGATGTTGGGAAAGATGGAGGGCACAAGGGGAAGGGGACGACAGAGGACGAGATGGTTGGACAGTGTTCTTGAAGCTACCAGCATGAGTTTGACCCAACTGCGGGAGGCAGTGGAAGACAGAAGTGCCTGGCGTGCTCTGGTCCATGGGGTCACGAAGAGTCGGACACGACTAAACGACTAAACAACAACAACCTTGGTTGTGGAACTTAATCCGTTCTGGGAGTCTGTATAACTCCTGAAACCATTCGAAAACAAAGGCTCAGCTTCTGATTGGCTGCAGGAGCTTCCTGCGTCGGACGTTCGGCTTCCGAAAAACGTTCGCAAACTGGAACACTTACTTCCGGGTTTGCAGCGTCTGGGAGCTGATTTATTCGGGAGCCAAGCCATCCGAGTACCAAGGTACCACTGCAATAATAATAATAATAATAATAATAATAATAATAATAATATTTTTTAGCTCGCCCATCTGACTGGGTTGCCCCAATCCATCACTAATGTGCTATTATTGCATCAATGACACACTGCAGATTATGTCAGTCTGGAATGGCCCATGGCTGACCTGGAAGGCCAGAAAGTCTCTCTTTTCTAGAACGAACTGAGAGTAAGTCCTGAAACACAGTCACCTCTCCTGTTCCAGTCCAGGGATGGAAGGTGAACAGTGCTGGGTCACTGTTTGTTCAGGAGAGCATGTTTCCCACTATTCCCCTCCTCAGTGGGGAACTCCTGATCATCTCCACCCGAGGAACCGCAGAACCCTTTTGAATTTAGTTTGGAAATGGCCAACCAACCCTAAGTGAAATCGGTGAGAAACAGCACCAGAGTGATTTTTCCAAAAAAAGAAAGATCCGCTTAATCAGGGTGTCCAAACGTTTTTCAGATTTGATGAAGTGACGGCCGACCACAGTTGTTGTCCTTTTTTTGGGATTGAAGTTGTTCAGCTTTTTTTTTTTTTACGATTTTGCCCCAAAGTTATTGAGCTTTTTTTGCATTCCCCCCCCCAATGTTGTTGACCTTTTTTTTTTTTTTTTAAGTTTGTTATTTTACCCACAGAAATACACTGACACAGGGGCCAGATTAGATGGCAACTTTCTCTACTGCCCAATGCACATTGCTGTACTCCAACAGGCATTCTAGAGAATGGTGAGCGTCTTGTAACAATCATAAGAGGAAGGATCCAGCTATCTAGTCCAGCAGCCACATTGGCCAACCAGATGCCTTTCTTTATAAACTGAGCAAATCGTAGTGTCCCAAGCCAAAGAAAAAAGGTACGAATTCAGAAATGGAAAAAGAGAAAAGTTGTTTGATTAATTAGAGGGTTAAAAGGTTGAGGCTTCCTTCACTCACGCTGCAAGGAGCTATTAAAATAAAATGAAGGTTCTGAGTGTTCCTTAAGGCTTCAGTGGAAAAATTGCTAACTGAAGCACAGGAAATTTCAGAGGGATGATCATCCCAAGCCTCCTGCAATGGGGTGGAAAGGGGCGAGGTGGATCGGGAGCGCTGGACGTACAGAGCCCAGCCTCACCAAGGCGAGATGAGTGAGCACAGAGACATCATGCATCGTGGTGTGGCGTGACCCTTAAAGTAACGCTCTGTGAGCAATGCCCTGGCCTTGACGGAGGGAAGTGGCTCGTGATTTGGGATGCCTCATCATTCTGACAGCCCCGGCCGAAGCGACGCAGGGGATCTAACGCGACGCTCAAAGAAATCAGCATCTTTCGAAGGTTGGAATGCTCAGGGCGCTGAGCATCCTTGAGATGCTTTGCAATGCCTTTGTCAAGTCCCGGGTTCAAAGTCTTCCTTCTCCAGCTTCAAGGCTCTCAAGCAGCATGGGTAGGTGAGAACTCAAGAGAGACCCCAGCCAGGCAGAGATGATAAACCTCAGCTGGGTGGAATAGTGGCCTGACTAGTCCTCCCTAGTGGCCTGCGAATGCTCCAGCTGGAGAACAGCCTTTACCACAGGTGTCATGGGCTTTGAAGACACTCGAACTCAGGACGGAAGGGAGAAACGTGCTAAGAGGAAGGCATGCTTGGCAAATCCACACTATGATCAGCTCCTGCCCGGAAATCAATGTCCCCACTGTGGAAGGACGTGTGGATCCAGAATTGGCCTCCACAGTCACTTACAGACTCATTGTCAAAACCGTATTTATGGAAGACAATCTTACTCGGCTACGAGGGATCGCCAAAGAAGAAGA